AGTCTCGACAAACCAAACAAAGGAAACAAAAAAAACATGGAAGTAAATTCTGAGTAACACTCAACTTTTCTACTCTCCAATATAGTGAGCCTGAGAGTTGCAGACATTTTACTCCTCCATTATTGTAATTAAAATAAAAAGCTATTATTTATTATATTAACATTTTGGCAACTTCTTTAAACAATCTACAAAATACAAAAAAGATTTTACTAAAAAAAATGTACCTTTTATAAGCAAAGAAAAGTCAAAAACATTTATTTCCACAAACCAATTATAGCAGACATGAAACAGAAATGTTCACGAATTAAAAAGGAACCTGTTGAACAAGAGATAAAGAAAGACCAGGCAGGCCCATGTAGAAGCATATGACTTGTGCTCTCTTTAGAGAAACCAGATCTCTTGGGAACTCTTTTAGAAGCTTCAAAACAAAAACAAGTTCCATTAAGAAAAAGAATTTGAGCAGTAAATCAGATGAGTCCCAAAGCATGGTGCAAGCAGCTAAAATTGGCAAACATGTCCACAGTCTGAAGTAAGCTACCCTCTTAAGATAGAACTTTCTAAATAAGCGTATGCAAAAGATCATCTAATTTGGTTCAAAATTCAGTTTCCACACATCTGCATAACAAAGGATCAAAGTGTCCCGAAAAAACATCAAATTTGTTAAAGGCTTAAATTTGTAATCCCTTAACTTAATGCCTTCTGGAATACACTTTCGGTTTAGGGTTCTTTCCTATTCTCTCACATGCAAGTCATGCAGTTGATACCAAAATGTTGATCAGCTATCACCGCTAAATTTGTAAGAACTCGGGGAATTATTTTTAACATTGCATCTACAGCATGAACCAATGTTGTCATCTGTATGAAAGAATTGACAAGTCAGCCAGAGTTGAAAGAACAAGAAAAAATAAATATGGAGGACAGCTCCTTATTTCTTAAAGATGCAGGGAAAGCCTGAAATTCTACATGAACTTTTTGTTTATAGATCTATTACTTAAATGTACAAAAGAAGAAGTCTATTGGAGCATCAATGATGTTTTGGAGCCTTTTGTAAAGAGACTACCAGAAAACTAATTTGGACTAGTAGGTCCCTTCTGGATCCTAGCCTAATGGCATCCACATAATCAACTATCCATAATACCAGAGGGCCCCCACCTCCTATTAAGGGATATCCTAGGCATGCCTACTTCTCTACCTACATCCCATCCCCATTTAACCCTAGAACTAAACTGAGTGTCAGATGAATTTTACAGGAGGAGAATGAAAATCTCTGGAGATCCATCTAACATTTTAATGGAACAAGCAGCAAAACAATGTAACAGCAAAATTCTGGAATATTGAGTAAAAACTAATTTTAGTCCTAAAAGATATAAGTATCATCAGTTTAATCCTCCAAAAATACATACATACACCAAAATGGACAAATGGTCCTTCAATGACAAATTTTGACATCAACTAGGTTTTCCAATGTTAGTTTTCTCACCAAATTGGTCCTCAAACTGATGACACTTGTTAAATTACTCACCTTAGAATGCAATTCAACAGCAACATCATCGTCTCTATCTTCAGATAGCAAATAACTGACGGAATCGAAAACTAGTTTCTCATACAAGGTGGCATGTTCCTGTAACAATATAATTCTAATCAGCATCCAAAAAAAAAAAAAAATCCTTTTTTGGTTGAGAGAGAGAGGGAAAAGAAAAACCCAATTATAGGAAGCAAATGAGAGGTTACAAGGTGTGACTTAGCAGCATCAAGACAAGTGAGAGAACGAGAAGAAGCAGATGAGTGAAGAAAATGTGCTGCTAAGATGTTGGCCAAAACACAGTGTTTGTCATGTGCCACTGCTTCCAGAATCACAGACCTCTCTCTGCCATAGCTGAGAACCTTCATTGAGAAGCGACCCCATTTGAGTCTTAATTTCAGATGGTTTCAATTTGAACAAAAACACAAAAATAGAAATGAAAAACTCAGTGAGATGATATACCTGATGGTAGTATGAGTTGATGGCTGAAACGCAGGCCTGAGAGGAAGTTGAAACCTTGTATCCCCATCTGACCTCCAATTTCACACCTTCTTGCATCGTTCTTCACTCCTTTGTTCTCTGTCTAATTTCTCAAGTCAAAATGTTTGGTTATGGTTTTCGGGCTTAAATAGGTGAAACACAAGAAATAACAACCTGAAAAACCGACATAGTTAATAGATCTTATCTAACAAGAACAACTGAACAAGCCAACAAGGTATTATTAACACGTGTAATTTCAAGTTTTTCTTTTTCTTTTTACTTTCCATTTTTAATACTACGCGTTTAAATTATTTAATATTTTAACTTTAATGTATGTATTGCCATTTTTATTGAGGTAATGTGTGTAGTGTAATAAGAGAAAGGTGAGCCAGCAACACACTGTATACACACTCCTTGAGTACATTTTTAAATAATTGGAATTAAGTTATTAAATTTTGTGAGTTTAGCGTGTAATGAAATATTTTGTAATGTTTAATAAATAAAACTATGTTAAAAAATGTGTCAGAAAATATTTTTTTTTTGCACTTTTTTTAGTTAATTAAATATTATATGCATAGTCAAAAAAAGTAAATTAACCATTATGTATAAATGTAATAATCTTGGCTGTTAATAGGTTTTGGTGAAAGATATAAATTTTACTTTATTGATTTCTATCTTCGGAAGGAATTACATTATTATGATTGGTTTGAACATATCTTGATTTAAAAAAGTGCGATAATGATTTACGTACTATTTTACTGTAACAAATAGTGTTTCAGTTTAAAGTTATTAAGTTTAAATAAAATTTCAAATCCATGAAACTGTGGTTATAATTAATGAAAATGTTATATATTAATTAAAACTAATTTCATTAGTTAAAATAATTTAATAACTATTTAAATTTATTGAAAAAATAATTAATTTTATAAGAAATTATTTATTAATAATTTTTATAAATAAGTAGAGTCATAAGTTAAATCAATCAATTAAATTAAATAATTTAGTTGATTGGTTAAAGTTAATTAGAAAATTGTCACATGATATATTAAAGTCATTACATTGATATATTATAAATCGTATAATTATCCATTTATTAATGGTTTTGATTTGGTGTGATTCTCTTAGAGTTACACTCATATATGAGTTGATATCTCTTCAAGAAATAATATGTGATCGTGAAGATAAAAATTTAAAAATAGTATAATATTTTTTTAGAGTTTAATTATTATATGCCATTAATGGAAAAATGTTAAATTTTATTTTTTTAATATTTAATAAAGTTTGACTATCAATTTACAATTTTATAAAATTTATAAAAAAAAATTAGAAACTAAAATTACAGAATAAATATTATTAAAAATAAAAAGTGTAATTTAGTTAAAAATATATTACTAAGATATATTTTAAAATTATTATTACAAAAATCAAGAAATTACTTAACGTATATAATGATCTAAAATCGATAGTGTAAAAATATTTTACACAATGTGTGCATTTTAATTAAAACAATCTTTTAATTTAACTCAAATCAATTTAATATTAATTAAATTTAACAAAGATATTTTAAAATTAAATTAAAAATGATCAACTTAAATTTTATTTCAGTTTAGACCAGAACCAGACCTTTAATATTCTGTTAACAATAAAACGTAGATGTGCTTCTGGCATTCTTTTCGGTTTTCAAATTTGCGATGGTGTTACTTGAGATTGTATAATTCCATATATAAATTCTTAAATTTTCTTTAATTTTAAATTCATATTTTTTTATTAAATTCATTGGAAATTCCCCTATAATATATATTTTTTTTACCTTATTATCTAGTTATAAATTATCTTGTAATTAAAATTGTTACATTTTGTAATTAGTTAATGATATAAAAATTTACATAAAAAATATATCAAAATTAAGTTTTGTTTTATTTTTATTACTCTATCCGGACTTGTATATAGGAAAAATAAATAAATTTCACCAAATTAAAAAGATAATTAAATACATTTAATTTTTACAATTTCATTTAATAAAATATATTAAATATCAAATTTACTAAAACATCTTAATCATATTTATTATAAATAATATTATTATTTACTATTAAAAATATTATATAAATTTGATTTGGTTAAAACTTATTCATACTATTTAAATTTAAAAAGTTTAAATATATTTTTTATTTATATATAAGTTCTGATGGAGGATCATTTAATAAAAAAATAAATTGAATGAGGTTTGTTGATTGTTTTGGGGATGGCCAGGGTCCCATATCCCAACGCTATCGTTTTAGTGGTCCTCTCAATCTCCAGTCGCATTCAATAATAAAAGCAGAATCCAATAACCCTATAACTATAATAACAACAATTTCGAAGGTTTTATCCAATTTTTACATTCATTCGTCATTTCAAGTCTTCGTAACAATGTTAATGACTTCGAAATTTTGAATTCAATTACATACGCAAACCCGTGCTTTATTGTTAAAAAAATTATTTCGAATTTAAATTGTTTTCATATTTATAATTTTTAAACTTTTTATTCTTAAATTTTAAATAAAAAATAATAATATTATAAATTAATTATTCTTATAAATCTAAGATTTATTCAAGAGCTTAAGATTTAAAGACAAAATATAATATCAGTTAATTCAATAAATATTGATAATTCTTAAACACTTTTAAATAAATATGAAAACACCAAGTGACTTGAACCACTAAGATATATATTAAAGACTCAAAGTAACTTTTAAATATAAACAAGATTCAATGAATAATAATCTAAGAGATAAAAATATCTTGATCTGAACAACAATTTTGAAATTTATCTCACAATTAATTTAAGGATCGATAACTATTCTTACCATGGTTCTTAGTATTATTTTTTATAATATATGTTTGACATTTAATGAAATTATTTATTGAAACTTGAATTTTATTTGGAGAATAACACTTAAATTTTATCATTAATAAAAAAAAAAAACTTAAATTTTATCCTTTAATTTAATTCCATTTACCTTGCAGATGCAGTCCATTGTAGTATAAGAAGCTTGGCAAACTCAGTAAGCTTGGGAGTCTCTGGTAAAAGGCCCTTCACAGAAGGATGAGCAGCGAACGATTGAGCCCATTGGGCCAAACTAGGGTTCCGGGCTTCATCAAGCACTTTTATTCCAATTATGTCCTCTGTGACTCTTATCCAACTCATGAAACTCCCGAAACCAATATCAATGAGTCCAATCGTATCTCCTCCGAAAAAGGCCTTCCCTTCACTGTACTTGTTGAACACTTCTTCCATCTTCTCTAGAACTTCTTCTATTTGCTCCAAGTGTGGCTTCTTTGCTTCATCATCTTCAGCCATTAGAATACTTTTGGTGGACGTAAGCAACTACTCCAGTAGGAAAAGAATTAGACAACCAACATAATTATTCCTTCTAAATAGCAATAGCTATGACATAAAATGACATGTCAAGGGCCTATTTCGAGGATTCTTGTATGTGTCTAAATCATATGAAAGCTTGTAACGATAAACTTTTCATGCAACTTATTAAAATAAATTAAAAGAAAAAAACACTTGTAAAAAGTTCACAAAAAATCACATATAAAAAAACTTGACACTTCTTATAAGTTCAATTAATTAAGTTTTATATAATATTTCATTTATAGTTGTTTTTAGCAATAACAAATACAAACAGCAAAATTAAGGATACCTTGTCATCAATGTAAGAAAGCCAAAATCGTGCATTAGCTCGATCATAGGGTTTTTGTGGAAGGATGGAGGGAGCATTGGTCCAAACCTCATCAATGTACTCAACTATGATTAAAGATTCACAGATAGGTTTATGATCTGCATGGAGGAGAACCGGTATTTTCTTGTGCACTGGGTTGGACTTAAGAAGCAACTCGCTTTTGGGACTCAAAGTCTGTTCAACAACCTCATAATCTAGACCCTTGAGGTTAAGGGCAACCTGCACCCTTAGGGCAAATGGACTGAACCAACCACCCAAAAGCTTTAGGTCGTTTTTAGCCATTACACTAGAGTTTGTTTTGTTGGCTATTTGCATGAGGCGTTTATATATGGGAAGAAAGAAAATAGAAATGTTAGATAACAACAAATTTGTGGTGTATGTATGATGCAACAATTAATTCAAGTAGTTGGGAAGTGGCAATAAATTAAGAAGTTGGGTGAGCCAATTCTGTTGTCTATTGATCGATAAGCAGGCAAGAATTGATGTATATATTTTCTTTTCTTTTCTTTGACCTCAATGCTCATGAAACCAGAATAAATCACCACTAAGTTGAATAATTTTGTTTAAGAGAATAATTTTGATTCGTAATAATTTTAAATTTACTTAGAGCATCTACGTCGCGAATCCTTATAAAGATTCTTGCTTATATATTCAAGATTTACGGCGAAGTAATACACCCTTTACATTTTAACGTTATACACTATATATAGAATGAAGATTATTCATTATCTTCTGAAAACAAATATTAATTATCTTCAACACTATTCATTATTAATATCTTCGTGTGTTTTATTTTGTTTAAGACATATATATTTTATTATAAATTTTAAATGTTGTTAATGTTTGTGAATAGTAATAAAGAAACTTAAGTCTTGTTTTAATTTTATTGAATATTTTTATTGTCAAATGTGATGTATAAAGAAACTTTATGAAAACATTTTTTTTGGGACTTCTAAAATCAGGTTAGTTTTGGTAATAATAACTCTAAGTTTTATTTTAAAAGATACTTAGTCTTTACAATATTTTTAGTGAACGTAATTTATAATATTTAGTTAAATTATAATTACATCTGTTGCTTATATTTTTTAAAATAGCTTTTGTCGTTAAATCTCATCGATAAAAGTCAAAGAAATATTTTTTTATACTCCTATAAATATTTAATTATTTAAATTGACTATCTTTAATTGAGTTAATTAATTGTGCTTTATAATTAACAAATTATAACTTTTTAATTAAATTTTTTACTATATTATTCATGTAAAGTATCTAGTAACTTAATTAACTAATGAAATCTTCATTGCAAAACACTGACACCCTCAAGCTTCAGTAAGGTTTTTCCAAAATGTATTTGTAACTTAATTATCAGTAGCTATTTTAGTCATTATATTTCAAGAATTCATACAAATTCTTGCTTTTATCAAGAAGTTGTATTTTTTAAACGAATCATTTTCTTTTGCTGTAATCAAATACATAAATATGAGTGAAAAAAATAATATTTTTAAAAAAAGTTTTTTTTTTTGTCTTATAGAAATTATTTTAGATCTCAATTTATTCAACAATTGGATCATTGAAGTTACCGTACTATTAGTCTAGGTTTTATCTTTTTAACGATAGGTATTATTTCAAGAGCAGTATGGGCTAATGAGGCATGGGGATCATATTGGAATTAGGATCCAAAAGAAACTTGAGCTTTTATTACTTGGACTATATTCGCGATTTATTTACATACTAGAAAAAATAAAAAATTATATAAAATTATATATATATATATATAATATTATTTTATATCCTCTAAGAAGTAAAAATAAAATAAAATTATTTATGCTCTTTTAAATTCATAATGATGAGTGCGAAATTTACATTTTGTAAATATAATAAATAAATATAAAATAGTTGATGAATTCAAATATTCATTAATGACCTACATTATTAAAACATATCATCCTTCTTCTAATCTCTAATAATAAATTTAAACCTTACTTTATTTTAAATGTTTCATCAATTAATATATTTTTGAGTACTTAATTATTAAATGAATAAAATAAAAAAATCAAATAAATTATCTAAAAAATCCTTAGTTTGGGTGCAAAAAAAATGTTAAAACTTTCTTATTTTATATTACTATAAAATATAAGATTTTTGAGGATCATATAGTTACGACACTACTTATGTTAATCCACAAATGAGCACGTGGATCAACTAGGGGTGATCATTAATCGATTTTGGTTGGATTTAAATTCAAAATGTTGAATCTGACCAAAATCGACCAATGTTATTTGTGAATTGTATTTGACTGTGAACAGTGGCGGACCTTCACTATGACACGAGAGAGCCACGGCTCCTCCAAACTTTTCCAAATTTTCATATATATATATATATATATAAGGGAATGCTAATATACTCCTACCTGTTTTTTAGTTGAAGTATGTTAGTAATTTATACCAAAATTTTAGGACAAAAAAATCACTCATTTATTTTAATTTGATTAATTTGTACAAAGGATATTATAATAATTTAATTTAATGTTAAATGAAAATAAAATATTTTCTCACTCTTATTAACTTTATTCTCTAAGTCGTTTATATTTTTTTATTTGTTCAGAGAGGGGAGACATCATGAGAGATGAGAGAGAAATGAGTTAAAGAAGGAATTTAATAGGAGAAAGATAAATAAGTTAGAGAAAAAATTTAATTCAATAAGAAAGAGAAGTGAGTAATTAATTTTTTATTTGTTGAGAGAGGGGAGACATCATGAGAGATGAGATGAGAGAGAAATGAGTTAAAGAAAAAATTTAATAGGAGAGAGATAAATAAGTTAGAGAAAAAATTTAATAAGAAAGAGAAGTGGGTTGGAGAAGGAATTTAATAAAAAATAGAAACGACTTAGAGAATGAAGTTAATAATAGAGAGAAAATATTTTATTTTTATTTAAATTAAATTAAATTACTATAATATCCTTTATATAAATTAATCAAATCAAAATAAATGAGTGGTTTTTTTGTCCTAAAATTTTGGTGTAAGTTGTTAACATACTCCAACTAAAAAATAAGTGGGAGTATATTAGCA